CCATCGTGACGTTGGGAATATGCAGCACCGAACTGAAAATAGAAGTAATCGTTGCTGGTTACTGGAATAGTAGATGAGTTTATATTTATTGTGGATATCCTAGAAACGATTTTCTTTCTATGGACTTTAGAATTGAAATTTTGAGAGTATGGGCAATGAAGATTGACTCTTCTTGTCCCGTTCAAATAGGGACTATCAAGAAATCATTGTCAACACCAATTCTTCGCAATAATGGAACGATCGTGAATGTATACCTTGAAGAACAATTACAAGGCGTGGTAAAATAGAAGTTTTGGTAGTGGAATGTATCCAAAACAGACAGAATGAGGCTCTTGTGGCATACTGTTAAGTCAACACCAACAAGCGTAGCCAATCTACCGGCAAATCGAATGACCTTGAAGAAAGGAGTGGTTATTGGTTGTAGAAGTATACCAGCTATCCGACTTGGATGCCATCAGTAAAAGCAAATCGAGGCGATCATCTTTAGGGAGAAGGGCAGTGTTATAAATCTCTAAAGTTGGGAAAAGTGTGCACAATTTTGCAATACTATGATTAAAAATTCACTGCTTGAATTTTACTGCGCAATCGTCTAGCGAATGGAAAAACGAACAGGAACAAATAATCTAGACAATTCTAGAAGCAATGACGTGCTATAAAACGTAGGCGGGCACCAATGGACAGTCAGTGAAAATTGAACGCCAGTGCAACAAGAGTCACTAGTGGAACGCGAATAAGTTAATAATCGTATAATTAGTGGAACGCGACTCTATACTGAGATAAGTTAGTTGAGATTTAGTTTTGTGACTAGAGCTTGATTTATTGTTAAACGAAGTGTTGTACTAGTGCTGGTTTCCTCATGATTTTTTTTTCTGCCTTGAATGAAAGTAAATCAATTTTGGACGAGTAGTCTCACTCATCTAATATGAATCCGCTTACGTAACAATGTTATCATTTCGATCTACTCCAACTATTCTCCAATCCTTTATCAAATAATTAAATTTCTAGTTAGGATAAACAGCGTAATCGATCAGAGGCAAGCCGAGATCAATATTACACCCGAGGAGAATAACACAATGAAATGATAAGCGGAATATTTAAAAGTATAATTATCTCGGAAAAATGAACACCCGACAGAAGAGAAGATTACATAAAAGTTAAAGAGAACCCCAACTATTTAAAATATTATTTCTTCAAATCTTGAGTTTTTAAAAAAACGTTTGAATAAAAGTAAATGTTGCCATCATGTAATGCTCTGTGAAGTTTATGGGAACGAGGGGCGCCACAGAAGAAGCGTACGAAGAGGAGATAAGAGAATGGGAGATTAGACTAGAGAAGATGATGGTCCTGCAGACGCTTATCTGCCATTGTTCATTATTCAATTTTCGTTTTTATTTTGTAATAAACTGATTGTTCAATCTAATTTGTGATTAGTTTGTGTGTCAAGGAGCATTTACAGGTCAGTTGAATAGTTTTTATTTTGTTCTTGAGAGTTGAATTATTTATAAAAGTATAATTTTTTTCATTTTTATGTTTTTTTCTTTGTTTGTTTATATCATTTTTTATAACATGTGCATTGTTCATGTATTTAACAAAAATCGTTCAATGCTGTAAACAACACAGGTAAAGAGTAAATTTTAAAAACCTAAAAAATTATGTGCTGTGTTTTGTGCTGGAATTTTGATTTTTCGTATTCAGAACGTACATTAGGGCCTTGCTGAATATACTAACATTTTCCTACCCTGACGAGTGAATATCCTACCGAACAAAAGGAAAGAGATATTGGCTCAAAATAACAACTATAGCTTGGTAGCATCCCGTATGGGACCTCAGTACCTGCTGGCAGACCAGCTAACTAACCAAAAACTCTTCAGTATTGGATGCAGGTAGTGTTGATTGAATGTTGTGTGTGGAATTAAAATTTTAGCACAAAGACAAAGGATGGTACCTAATTTAAACTTTTATTGAATAAGTGAATCATTGACTTAAATTATTGATTACTGACTCATTATCATAAAAATGACACAGTATGTTTTGATTTTTGAGGAATGTTCGATCGAGGGTTTCTCTGCCGTTCTCTTGCCCCTCGAGAATTCCAGGTCGAGAACGGTACGATTTACTTTAATGATAAAGTAGACGTTTCACAAATTTTTCGTTTCTTTCACATATCACAGCTTCCCTAAAATTTCCCATGTCGGGCGCATGTCCAGTAAGTAAAATTGAGTAAATTTCCACAACGTAGGTCCTATTTGTTTTTCATTTCGTTTTTTAGAAGATTTGTTGTTTAAAAGGTAATAAAAATTCACACCATGTAATCTTACTGAACGAACCCGGGGTTGTTATACTACAAAGTCAAACATGATCATGGAATACAAACCGAAAAATATATACTATATTGTCTAAAATATTGTCACAAAGCGCCTTATTCCTTAGCGACTTGCCGTTGGGATAATGGGGTTCATCAGGCTTGAATATATTGTTCCAATTAGCCTAGCTGGTCCTTAACAAGGGCCTTAGCTTAGGTAAGCCACTGGCTCCTTCGTCGTAGTAAACAAGGTATTCGCTCATATTGATATTTAGCCAGATACTCCCTTGAGGTAAGGTGAACCTGGGGACGTCTCGATATTACTCCCCTCCATACACCGAGATTTCAGTTATCCATTAATAAAATTTTATAGTCCTCATTCGCAATAAATGAAAAAAGAAAATAGCATTGTCATAAAATAGAATATTTATATTTCAGGAGAATAAAGTGCCGCCTATAAAATGATTATCAAGATTTATGGAAAAAATTTATTATATGAGAATTAATGGATAGAAAGACGTGATTTCAAAATTGGCCCACGCTAATGGTTTTCGTCGCTCGCGTTATGACAAATTTGTTTATGCCGATAAAACGATGAAAAAGGCTTTGAACTTAAAGTAATAGGTATAGAAAGTGTAGTATAACATACCCGGGTTCGTTCAGCAAGATTGAACAGTGTGAATATTTTACCTTTTAAACAACAAATCTTCTGAAAAACGAAATGAAAAACAAATAGGACCTACATTGTTGAAACTTACTCAATTTTACTTACTGGATATGCGCCGAACATAGCAAATATTAGGGAAATTCAAGGTAGGTTGTGATGTGTAAAAGAAACGAAAAATTTGTGAAACGTCTACTTTATTATTAAAGTAAATCGTACCATTCTCATCCTGGAACTAACGAGGGGGAAGAGCACGGCAGAGAAACCCTCGATCTACATTCCTCAAAAATCAAAACATACTGTGTAATTTTAATAATAATTGTGAGTCATTAATTCGATAATTTAAGTCAATAAAACTTTAAATTAGGTACCGTCCCTATTCTTGTGGTAAAATTTCAATTACACACACTACATTCAATCAACACTACCTATATTCAATACTGAAGAGTTTTTGGTTAGTTAGCCAGTTTCCCAGTAGGTACTGAGGTCCCATACGGGAAGCTACTCAGCTATAGTTGTTTTTGAGCCAATATCTCTAGATTGATTATTTCAATTTGCTAGGATATTCTCTCGTCAGGATATAGTAGGAGAGCCGGCAATATTAACGGGTATGTGATCGTTGCAATGGACAACTTTCACATAAAAGAATAGCTCATAGTTACCTTTAAACTAAATGGATGGATGGCCTCGATTCTCATGGCCGCAACCCTTTGATCGCTCGGCGTAAACTACCCCTCTTTTCCCGAAGGAACAATGTTATCGTTGCAATAGCTGAAAATTGGTAGATATATTCTTTAATATGTCTTCTCAAATAATATATAGGGTGGCCTCGATTTTGATGGCCGAAAATGATGGCGACCCTCATTGAAAGTCGAGGACACGCGTTATTTTGCTTGCTAAATACAAATTTTTGAAAGTGACAGTCTTCAAAGTCACTTTCAAAGTTGAAAGAGGACTATGTGAAGAGGATTTTGCATACGGATGTAGGTCTTTAGACAAAAAAAGAAACATGAAATTGTGTTAATAAAGTGTTTGCCGCATATGATGAGAACCCCCTACACCGCAAGGTACTTCTTATTTGTTGCGCTTATGGTTCTTGAAGTATCTCTTTATAAAACAACTTCACGGCCATTAGAATCGAGGCAACCCATCCATTTGGTTTAAAGGTTACTATGAACTATTGTTTCATGTAGAAATTATCCATTGCAACGATCACATACCCGTTAGTATTGCCGGCTCTTAGACTAGTAGGAAAATGTTAGTAAATTCATTGAGGCCCTAATGCACGCTCTAAATCCAAAAATCAAAATCCTAGCACAAAAGACAGCACATAATTTCTCAGTTTTTTTAAAAATTTACTCTTTATCTGTGTTGTTTACAGCATGAAACGATTTTTGTTAAATACATGAACAATGCACATGTTATAAAAAAAAATTTATGAACAAACAAGAAAACATAAAAATGGGAAAAAATAATACTTGTATAAATTGAACTCTCAAAAACAAAATAAAAATTATTCAACTGACCTGTGATCGCTCCTTGACACACACAGTAATCACAAATTGGATTGAACTATCAGTTTAAAACAAAATGAAAACAAAAATTGAATAATGAACAATTACAGACACGCGTCTAAGGGACCAGCCGAGCTTGTTCTCTAGTCTAGTTGCGTATTCTCTACCTACCCTTCGCTTCGGTACGTTTCTGTTGCGGCGCGCCCCGTTCCGAAAAATTTCACGGCGTATACAAAGTTGCAACATTCACTTTTATTCAGTAAACGTTTTTTTAAAAAGTTAAGATTCAAAGAAATAATATTTTAAATAGGTGGTTTTCCTCAAAAGAAAATCTTATCAATTGTAGAATAAATCTTTTTCATCAAGGGATAATTGTTGGTGCCGATTGAATTTCTCTCAAACAGACTTCTTCACTTGGCTAAAAATCCAATCATTTGAATTGGCCGAGATGTGAAAATAGTAATTAATAGGTCGATGAAAAAACTTATCCACAAATTACTCACTAAATTCTATTTTTTAGAGTCTCAACGATACCCGTTTCGATTCACGCCGCTGATGAGCGTCATAATCGGGGTTGTTTCTGCTCTTCTCATAGTTCTTCTGGTTGTAATTCTGGTGCTTAGACTGCAGTGCACCCAAGGAGACGAACGTCGCAGAAAACAACAGCACAGGCACAAGAACGCCGTGGTGAGTGGGGCCAACATGGAACACAGGGGTAGCGGCAGTGGAGCTACACTAAGCGATAAAGGAGGTAATATTAAATTATCAACAAGTCTAGGAAATTAGAAAGCATTATTCACAAATTAATAATATTTTGCTTAAGTCTTGCAATTCAAAAGTAATATGTTTACGAACTTACTCGAGGCAGCCGAATAATAATTGGCTTTGTTCAGAAAGTGCTTATAATTAGATTCAATCGCCAAATTGTTTGTATGATGTTTAGAGAACATTTCAGAATGGGATATGATGAATACCTAATCAATAATCTCACGAATAATCTAGTTCATTAAGGAGTGGCGACAAAATTCAGCATATTTTTACACTAACGCTGAAACCTACTCGAACCGATAGTTGAGAAGTTCAACCAAACTTTAAAGGGGGCAGTGATGCTTCACTCCTCATTCTAGTCAGACTAAACTATTAATATCAAGATAAGATTATATTTGCAAAGGTCGCTGAAACTAGTTTGAATTTTAATTGTTTTCAAATTTCTGTCATACGACGCGACGGTCCTTTGTACAATTATAATTTGTATAATTTGTCAGTCTTTAACTGGAATTAATATTAGAGTGAACATGTGGTAAAGTTTCAAGTATAAAACAAATTACCATAAAACGTCTTTCGCATAATATCGAACTTGCCGGAAAACATTACATCACAAAAAGCTCGTTATAAAACTCTACTCATCGTCGTGAACGTTCTGCATTTGGCATGTAGCCACCATTCTTTATTTTTATGCATTTTTCGTAAGAGCGACTCTGATAACTGTTCATATCTTGAGGTTTCAATATCAAAGAAATCTCTTAAACTTTCTTTCACTAAAATATGCATTAGAATCAAGTGTTTTAAAAGCTAAAAGAAAAAGATTTTAAGTTTTTTTTTTAACATTTCGCTGATCCGAGCATATTTTATGATACAATGATTATTTTCAGGTGGTAGTCCGATCTCCAAACACGATTCCAGTGCAGGCGAATGCGACAGTGATGAAAAGAATCCGGACATAATACCACAACCTGTGGAGAGCGATGATGGTCCCGACTACTCTAGGAAGAAGCAGCACATATCAACCATCGACACGTCACATAATGAAGCAGGCAATTCCACGGGGTACATGGGGTATTGTACCCTACGAAATGGGATCCCTCAATCAAAAATGGTAAGAAGCCTATTCATTAAATATTTCGAAATAAATGAGAAATGAACTTTTATCAATTTAGCACCGCTCCCGTGACAAGTAAAATCCGGTCAGCAATATATAACACGGAAAAGCCTGTGCAACAGGCCCTTATTAGAGTTGGAGGAGTCTCAACTTATAAGGGCGCTGTCGCGACGTTTAAGATGTAGGCCGTGAGATTTTATTTTTACAAATCGCGAATAAAAGGGTTTTATATGGAGAAAATACAAATGTGACTTTTTATTTATTTATTATGAAGTTATTACGGACCGAGGTAAAACCTATAAGCCAGTTGCAACCGCGTGGTTTTGCTCTGCGGAGCTTCCAGTTTGTTCTATTATCAGATCAGGATTCCACACCGCTGACCTGCATATCCAAGTATTGGTCTGCTGTAGGCAATCAAGAGTTTGGTAAATTTTTCCTGGGGTATGTTAGGGAATACCTTTTTTTAACAGAAATAGTTTGCTGTTTGCTCGGCCACAAATGTCCATCATATGAGGACACTAGGAAAGATCACTAGATACCAGAATGCCAAGATCGTTATGCTGCTGAACACTGTACAAGACAATACCATCGATGGAGTAATCTGTTTGTGGGTTGTTCTTTCCAAGGTGCAATCCGACACTCTTTCCCATATTTAGGGGAAGCTGCCAGTCTTCACTCCACTCACAAATCAGGTTGAGGTCTAATAGAACCGCTGAGTCAGAGGCAGAACTGCAGATCTTTATGTCATCAGCATAACTAGCGCCTGAGGATTTTATAGGGTCCAGCGTAATCAACACAAAAAGTAGTGAGCCCTGCGGCACTCCACTTACCACTGGGTGTGGCTCGGAAAGATAAGCAGCAACCCTGACTTGGAACTGTCTGTCTGAGACATAATTTCTGACCCCGTTCAACAAGTTGCCCCTCATCCCAAAATCCAGTTTGATTACAAGTCTCCGTGCAGGCACCCTGTCGAACGCTTTGGCAAAATTAAGATAGATGACATCTACTGGAAGTTTCCAGTCTAGAAGTCTGATTCAGTCATTAAGACATTCCGGGAGACCTGTAGTTGTTATGGTTTGCTAGAAGGACATGTTCATTATTTTAGCTAGGAACTACAGAAAGTTTTCTGCCTATTTTTTGAGCATCAGAGTGTACACACCATCACACGATAAGTTTTGATGTGTAAAGTCGATTGTAGTGATTTGGTTTATTACCCTGTCAGTATGGTTTTGAAGGGTAGTCGGAATTGGTGCTTCCTTCGTGAGGACCTTTGAAAACTCTTTGGCAAGCATTGGCTTTTTCCCTGTTATCTGTGCAAGTATCCCTATTGACAGTTTTAATGGTTTAAATTTTTACGATCAAACTTAAACCATTAAAGAGGTGCCCTTTAATGGATTAAATTTGATCGTACCTATATATTTGTGCAGCTTTTTCGAATTTTCTAACCTTGTTAAATTGCTTTGCCTCATTTATTTGCTGTGTTAGGGTATTTGTAAAGTTGCGGTGTTATGTTACAAATAATACTCGTTATTTGAACTTTAAGATAAGAGAACCTAGGGTCGTAGAATTCAAAAAATTAAAATAACGTGTAGCCCCTTTATGTGCAAATGAAACCATTTAAAATCCAACAAACAATAATTTTATTTTGTTTACAATGTTATGTAATAACATGTAGTAACAGACAATGTTACTTTCTGTAAAATTTTACATAGTTGTTAGCTTGGTTGTCCGGTGAATCTGATATAATGTACCTTTCCAATCCGGAGCTCTTCAAGGGATGTTGGGGTTTCACTTTCGTGAACTGGAGCTCTTCGTGTTGTTTCCTGTATCCTGGAAGAGGATAGATTGCTGGAGTGACGTCACTCCAGCTGATCCAGACTCCAAACAGTGATCTTTATGTCGATTAGGTACCCAGAAAAGAATAAGGCAGTATCAGATTCACCAAGATTTGGAATATTAAATTCCTGAATTCTGTGAAAAAGTGAGTCTTCCAAAGAACAAAAAAAAATAATATGAAATTAGTTTATTATTATTATTATTATTACTCCCTTCCAACAGAATCAGGTATGAACAACTAATCAACAAAACATACAATTAAATAATTGAAAAATAATCATAAAAATAGATTAAATTGAAATACTCCCTACAGGTTGAGCAGAGTGCTGCTTTTCCGGCAGTAGCAATAACAGGCAAGAATATGAACAAAATAAGATAAAAACAATAAGAAATCAAATTTTTAGATTCTCCCCCAAATAGACAAAATTTTCCTTTAAAATTAAGGTAGCTACTATAGATACTACAAAATAAACCTGAGGGTGAAATCAATCAAATCCAGGAACTGTCAACATTCATGAGATGTTTTAATTAAAAATTTTAAATGAATTTTTGACCTGTCTGGAATTCTATTTTAGAAAATTACACCCTTTTTCAACACTCTTCTCTTCGAGAAGACAATAATTGAGATAATAATTGATGGAGTTAAACAGAAAATTGCTCTATAGGCTTCTGCCTGGATTCAATAAAGAGTTGATGGGGATGGACACACAAATTTGGTTTTCAACGACTCTATTTAGAGCAAATGGTCCAATATTCCCACACTAACAATTGATTCTGAAAACCAGAGCAGCAGTACCTATTTATTAGCCCAAAAATCAGAATTGACTTACCTCAAAAAAACGTGGAACAGATAAAAAATTAAAATACAATATTTATATTGTATTTTAATTATGAATTATTATTTTGCTGATTCTGGAATGGCAACAATACAACTTTATAATGAAATTGAGAAGAGATGGAACATGTTACATAAATGATAAATTTATCGTAACAAGTCCTTGGGATTTTTCTGAGTTGGCTTGTACTGTTCTTTCCAATGTGTTGTGGAAAATTGCCCAGACCGTGTCTATGTTACCAACCAAAAGTTCTTCTTCCAGTCGACCCCAGAAAGGTGTTCGTTAACTGCTGGAAAGTTAATGCGTTTGATTTTTTGCTTGAATGTTTCAGCACCTGCATAAGCCATTGTTGCTTGGAGTGGAGTGTGAGTTTTAGTTCCTCATGGTCAGATTTTCCTATGGGAAAGAGATGTTCATATTTTATTATGAGGTTCTTGTCAGTCAAATAATGAGGGGTTTTGACCCTCCCTCTACTAAGTGGGTTTGGTTACAAGCTGGTGTAGGTCCTCATTTGATAGAGTCTCACCCAATATGCCATGAGATTTTGGGAAATTTGAAATCGCCCACAATTAACAAGTTTTTTGTATTCTGATGCAAGATTAGTAATCGTGTTCGTGAAGAGAAGTGTATCATCTTTTATAGAGCATCCTGTTGGGCGGTAGACACACACCAGCACAAAAGAAACCCCAGGTGAGTTCAGAAGTAGGGCCAGAATGTCAATGCCACCGCAGTTATTGGGTATTTCTACTACAGTGTAGCTGTTCAAGATATATTGTCTGAAATGAAAGCAAAATTCATGGCTGCGGCGTATCAGTCTGTCTGATCTGTATATATTCTAGTTACGGATATCAATTTGTGAGTTGGTTAATGTGTCGTTGAGCCAAGTTTCTGAGATCATAAAGATATCTGGACTGTTGTTTTGGGTGCAAACGGTGATATCATCATACTTTGCACATATTGAAGGAACGTTGGTGTAAAAAATAGACAGACCAACCAAGTTGCTAAGTTTTTTGATGTGCCACCTGAGTTTCACGATTGTTGGTGTTCGTCTATTTTATTTTATTTTTATTATTTATTGTCGAATTGGAGGAATTGTTTCTTTTTCGGCATAATGTATTATTAATTTCATGAAAAATAGCTACCTACTTCTTTCTCCGATTCTCCAAAATACTAGTTTAGCACAATAAGTGAACCATGCTTCGGTTATTTGATTAGCCACATAAAGCTTTTAACAATAGAACATAGTCCCTTTTAGTTGAACAACATCCAATTTGTTGCGGTTATAGAAATTTCTACACGTGTTCACTATATGGTTTTATCAAAATTACGATTTAGGTAATAAATGGAAGTTTGTCATCCAAATTTAATAATAGTTTACGTTGGCATAGTATAATTTACTTATTCGGCAAGCGAGAAAGCTTAATAAGCCGTGATGAGTATAAAATAAATAGAAGAGGAGCATAACAATGTCAAAACTTGTATTTGTACTGGGTATTACTAACTTAGATGAATCGTAAACTAATAGGTATTATGTTATAAGATTTTTTTAAACTTTTTAAAATCATGCGTATCGATCGATTTTTGTGTGTGCGAACATTCGACAAGTTTGGCATTGAATTATTTGAGTTGAGACATTCAAATATATTCTAAAAAAAATTATCGTCGTCCCTCCAACCCGCATATATTACCGACCTAAGTTGTATTCGAGTGTAGTGTCATCTTTTGACGTACCATTCCGAACAACATATCTCAGTTCTCGTTCGGTACCAGACATTGCATGAAGTCGGTTCCGGGCTTACCGCTACCATGAAATTTGAGAGTCAAACCATGGCAAACCGGTACCCAGTTTTTGCAAGCGCGGCTCAGGGTTCTTGCACTCAATCAGTTCAGTGTAAGATACTCAACGAAAACCAGAATCAGTTTACCTGATCAATCATTCCAACTTCTGACTGATACATCTGATATAAATGGAAAAATACGTTTTTCAAAAAGTTAAAGGGTATATCAATTATCATTGAACGCGTTTTTTTTTAACATAAAATACAGAAAATATGGGTTGACTTTAAACCTTGAAAGCGAAAGAGAAAATTCTCTCGACAGCAAAAATCATTTTGGTTCATCGGGCACGTAAAATAAAAACGAGCAGAATCCGAAATCAAAAGAGAAGAAGGCCGGCCGATGAGCTCCCGGACCAACTTTATTATGATTTCGATAATGCCGAATCGGAGGGAAAACATATTTGAACACGTATCCGAGTTTTCATGAAACCAAAACAAATTACATAGTTTGCTTTGCCTATAGGCCATGCAGATATCGACCGTTGCTTCTTGGTTTTAGAGTTGTTCGTGTTTTTTAACAAAATACTCTTTGTCGAAGGCTGTAAATAAAATGAAGAAATATTTACACGTGCGGTTTGCATATGGAAAATATTCAGATATTTAACAGGATTATTTCTGTTCTTGAATTTTCTCCTTTTTTGATACCTACTACCTACCATTGTCCAAGGTCCAGACCGTAGCTGTAACAGCGACAGAAATTGTGAATATTTTCGTGTGGATAAAATTTTAAACTGATCCTATCCTCTATTTCTAAGTTTGAAAAACCACTTTATGAAATGAAGTAGTGGTAGGTGTAATAACTATACCTAGATGTTCAGTTGAATCAACTAAGTCCGTTTATTTTTAGCCTGCTGTCTATCGTTTATTCTGAACTTAGATGCAAGTTTATAAATTAATATACATTTGCAATCTCAGCATTACTGTACAATTATTATAAGTTAATTTCATGCTAATAAACGGACAAAATCAATAATGAAGTTGAGTTTTGACGGATTCAGGGCCAAAGTTTCAAAAGCAGCACAGCTGCATCGCTTATAAAAGAAAAGCGGTTATTTTGACTCTAACTGCAACGTTAATATTTTCATCTTTTTTTTCCTGGAAAAGTAACAACTAGTGGGAATATTTTTACCCGCGATTCTGCACTTCAACTATGGGGTTACTTTGAATAGCCTCAGAAAATATTCATGATATTTTCAAACTCTATTAAACTTTTTCCAATTTGTCCCACTCCATTTATTTTGAAAAAATCCGATGACTTTGAGAATACTTCGACATGTATCAACTAGAAAATCGTCATTATGCTAGTTGTACCGGAATAGGGCTAATTTCTTTCAAACAGAAACAACTGTTCAGGGTATTGTACTAGATTGGTGCAACCCAGTGATGCTTTAAATTGAGACATTAAACTGCAATTACCTTGACACTAATATGACAAAGAGGAACAAGAATGCTCCTATTTCTGCTCTTTTGCCAATAATAAGTAACAACTTTTCTTTTAGTTGCAAGGACCTAATCCAATGATACCAGCTTATAGTTCATCTTGTACCCTTCCACGTCAGCCGCAACAACAATGGCAGTATGGCCCTGTAAGTCACTTACCGCCTGCCATGTACCCAATACAATATCGAGCCGCCCCATTGGCCCAGCAAAGGCTACGAACGACCCAATCAAGGTGAGCATAATTATTTTTAAAAGATAATTGAACATAAATTGCGGTAAAAATTTACATCCCCAATTTAATAATCATTCAAATAATAAACCTCAATCTAAAGCAATTTCAATAAATTGCAATTAACAAAAAAACAACCGAGTCTATAATTTTAATAAATACATTTTAAAATAATCGCCCATTTAATATTATTCGATTTCCTTTCTAACGACTGTGAATAAACAAAGGGTAATTATGTGGGGCAAATCGACGAAAAAATATATTTGACGCATTGTGCCTTTTATCTGCAATGAATTTATTGTTCCAAGTTTACGTAGCTAGAGACCTCTATTGAGGCAGAGTTAAAGTAAACGGACGGGGCTGCATGATCTGCAGAGGGAGTTTATTTTATTGATTTGGCGGCTTAATATGGATTTATTCGGAGCTTGGGTATCATAATATTCAAGTTTGAGAGCCAGATGTCGTTAAAAATATAATTACGATTTATTATCTATTTGAATATGATCCATCGTAGTGGAAATCTGTTCGCAGATAAGTGAGATTTCTCGACCAAAGTAAATTTCCTTTAGCAACACAATAACGAAAAAATCATGACGATACTGGCTATGTTACAACACTTCGATTAACCACAATCAAAATAAACTAGTCATGGAACTAAATCAAAACTCAGGGTCTCACTATATTGACTCACGTTCCACTAGTTATTCGATTGTTAACTTATTCGCGTTTAATTCACCACTAATTCCTAACGCACTGACATCTAATTTATCACTGACTGGTTCCCTCAGTGGCTGATTCCGTTTTATAGAGCGTCATTCTAGAACTCTCTAGATAATTTTTGCTTCCGTTCGTCTCGAATTCGGTGTACTATTGCGCAAATTGAGCTTTCGGTAAATTTTTGGTAAAAATGACCGTTAGTTTGTACATTAATATCACCTTGTTCAAATCACTCTCTCATCAAGTGATACTTAACCTAATATCAATATGTTTAGAACGGTTGTGGAATTCAGGATTTTTCATTTATTCAATGGCACTCTGATTGTCAATGAAAATGTGTATTCGTTTTATCGCTTTCTCATATTTTCATTGATGCTACTAAGTAATTGTATCAATCAATCTACCTTCTTGGCTGCATTTGAAGCTACTATAGGTATACTTTATGCTTCTGTTGTAGAGAGTGGTATAGTGTTTCGCTTCTTGTTAGTCCATATATTATGGTCCACCAGTTAACTTGAAAATGTAAATGCAGAAACTGGTAGATTTCCTGCCCACACGATTTTCTACAAAATCGGAGTCGGTGTATCGGACAAGAATACTTTCTTCTCCACCCTTTTTGTGTAGGATACCAAAATTTGTCGTACCAATTAGATGGCAAATAATTTTTTCAACATTCTTGTGTAATTTTTTATGTGCTGGTTTGCACAGCTGCCTTAAACTCCAATAATTGCATATAACATCTCAGGTTTTGTATCAGTGGCCAAAAATAATAAAGACCTAATAGCATGGTACATCATTTTCGTTTAAGAAATATGCCGTCTCAATTAATTAAGTTTTCACTTTTTGTATCTGCAGGAATACTGCTAGGCTTGGCTTCTTCCATTATAAATCTAGTAGTTATCTGTTTTGTGTAGCTTTCTTGACCAAGAAAAAAATTCAAATTAATGAGAATCAAAAATTTAAGAATAACTAGATTCCAACCCAGTACCACCCTTAACTGAATATTAATGTGTAATAAAATAATAATAACAATGATCGATTATTTTATTTAAATTCGGACCTGGTCTATCTGCCCTTAAAACTGTTACAAATTAATTGACATTTGTTACTTTAAGAAAATATAACCTAGGGTCGTGGAATTCAAAAATCAAGATAACGTGTAGTCCCTTTATGTGCAAATGAAACCACTCAAAATCCAACAAACAATAATTTTATTTGATATTTAACAATGTAATATGTAACATAGAGTAACAGTAAATGTTACTGTAAAATTTTAGTGTTGACAGCTTGGTTTTTCTGGTGAATCTGATACCATATACCTTTCCAATCTGGAGCTCTTCAAAGTGTGTTGGAGTTTCACTTTCGTGAACTGGAGCTCTTAGTGTTGTTTCCTAAATCTAGGAAGAGGATAGATTGCTGGGGTGACGTCACTCCAGCTGATCCAGACTCCAAACAGTGATCTTTATGTCGAGTAGGTACCCAGAAAAGAATAAGGCAGTATCAGGTTCACCAATATTTGGAATATTGAATCCCTGAATTCTGTCAAAAAGTGAGTGTCTTGCAAAGGAAATTGAAATTGAAATTTAATATAAAACGATTGTTGTACAGACACTCCCTTCCAACAGAATCAGGTATGAACAGCTATTGCAGTTAAAAAAAAATATACAATTAAATAATTAAGAATAATGGTAAGATAGTAATAAAATTAAAATAATTACAAGATTAAATTAAAATGCTCGTTATGATTGAGCAAAATGCTGCTTTCCTGACAGCAGCTCTAGCAGGCAAAAATATGAACAAAATAAGGTTGATAGGGATGGACACACAAATTTGGTTTTCACCGACTCTATTTAGAGCAAATGGTCTAATATTCCCACACTAACAATTGATTCTGAAAACTAAAGCAGCAGTACCTTTTTAAAATCCAAAAATCTGAATTGAATTACCTCAGATAAACGTGGCACTACCAATCGATACTCACACAAAATGGAAGCCAACAATTAGATTAAAAAAAATTAAAATATAAAATTTATTTCAAGAACAGATAAGATAAGATTTATCAGGTAAAAACTTAATAATGATATGTTAATATGCATCTATAGCAAAATATATTGAAAAATCTATAAGGGAGAATCCAAAAATACAAAGCAAAAATTACCTATTCAAAATAAAGAGGACTTGCCTGCCAGACTTCTGTTTAGGAAAGAGATCCTTTTAGAAACCAAAGCCCACAGGAAAACGATCCTGTGTTTTTCATGCTTAACTGCATTTTAACCAGTTCAACCAATCGGACGAGTACACCCAAAAGATCATATTCACTTCACAATGAAATCACAATGAAAACCCACATGGAATAAAAGAGAATATATAAAAATCCACTAGAATTATTTTAATTGTTTACAAATTATAATAATTTAAATTAAGGTTATGTCAAAAATAAAAAAATGTTAATTAATTAGGTCATTAAGCGAAAAAATGATTATTTCAGAATCAGAAGTTAGGGAAAGACAGAAATATATCCATTTACTAAAAGTGAGATAAATATAATTTCTTTCAATGAAAATACAAATGACTGTCAAATGCGAAATAATTAAAATCATACTTTGAAAAATAAATCCATCAAGTACTAGATGGCAGAACTGGTAAATGAGTGAAAGATATTTGCATTCATTTTACGCTGATGAGGGATAAATGGCAGTACTTGTACTATTTTGAACTTTGTGGATATTTTTGGAATTATTATTTTACTGATTCTGAAATGGAAAAAATACAACTTTATAATGAAAATAAGAAGAGACAGAACATGTTACGTAAATGATGGTGGTGATGCCACCAGAGGTAGTTCCAGATACAGATAAGCTGGAGAAATAATCATAAACTTAAGAGATGTTCAAGATAGGAAAGGATTTGTCATATACCTGGCATGGTCCAATAAAGAAGGTAGCCGAGTGGACGAATAAAACTATTTATTTAGTTAGCCATAAATGTCAGTCCGAACCACAGAGACGCGAATTTGAAGGATTCGCCCCTTTTAAAGGAACTTAGCACGTTCGCCAAAAATCAAAAATCAAAAGGGGTTCGTTGACATCGACTTGCTTAAGCAAGCTGCTAAGGAAGAGTCGCCCGTTCTCAAGCAAGATCGTGCGCAATTCAAATAATTGTCACTATTGACCTTGACGCACTTGCAAGATGAAGCTAGCCGAAAAGGTGGCTTCAGCAACCAAAACGATTGGTATTATTCGAAAGTATGTAGAGTTGGGCGAAAATCATTGAATAAAGATGGTATGGTGCCACCTGAATGGAAGTAGAACTTACATAGAAATCAGGTTGACTCCTAATTACAATCTTCTAGATTGTAATACGTGTTTGAATTACATTACCTACAATAATCAATATAAGCAGCAATAACAAAATAATAAAATGGAAAAGTATTGTTCCAGGAAATTGTGAAAAGTCTGGTCCTAGCACCTTGATGCCGTGTTTGCTTCCGTCCGTCCATATAACGATCTGTTTAGTTTGCATACTAAATTTTCTAGAATATCAGCTTTTGAACCTTGAAGATGTATACACTCTCTTTCCAAGCTCACCATAGAAAAAGGCTGTCTAAATATCAAATTGTTTTATTTTGTAATCATTTTCAGCTGCAATAGCTAACAAGACTCTTATAGAATCACAGCAAGTCGAAATATTTTTTATGTCTGTTCGTACCTGATTGGCTGCTACAAGCCTCTCCAAGGTCGTAGATTGAGAATTTCATCAACATTTTTAAGAAACCTCTTCATGTTTTTCGTTTTGCATGTGATTTTCAGGCTCTTCATCTAGCTTATCGTTTTGGTATAAATCAGGATATTCTATAACATTATCATTGTAAGGTTCGTTTCACCAGGGTTCATACTTGACCTTGAAACTTGAAAAAAAAGGGTTGTCGTAGATTAATTCATATGACACATACAATTTTTTTGACAAATTAAAATGAATGACGTCTGGTTAAGAACCGACGAACGTTTTTGACGTCATTGATTTGTTTCAGTCAATTTTTATTTGTTAAAAAAGGAAGGCAAATGCTGGTGGCAAGTACAAACCCTGGCGAAACAAACTTTACCTATAACCTAAAATATTATCTTTCGTTGAACAAAACATCTCGAGATTTTTTTTTATACCAAATGAAACAGTTTATATAATTTGTAGAATTTTGTTCATATATCCAAACTAACCAACCAAGACCAAGACTGGCCAGTCTTGGTCTTGGTCTCGAAAAATAAATTCGGTCTTGGTACTGGTATTGGTCTTGATAATTCAATTCAAGACCAACACAAGACTGGCTCAGTCTTGGTATTGGTCTTGATAGTCTTGGTCTTGGTCTTGATAGTCTTGAAAAAAAATTATACCAAATTTTTAAAATATACATAACATTCAACGACAGAGCAGAGATAATGGGTTTAGGACTTCAAAAATAAAAAATAAACTTTCCTTTTTGAAAAAATTATGCCGACGTTTCGACCATGCATTTGGTCTTCTTCACAGGCTATTTTTACCAGCAAGAGCGTTTCATGTCAAAAACTACCGCATAAAGCATTCCACAACACAGAGGAATAAACAAACATCAATTCTTAAATTATAATTTTTATTAACGGAACAAGAAAGTTGACAAACACATCATAAAATTGCCATTCTGTACCGAGGAAAAAAAAAAAATTCTTTTTGAACCATAGATTAAACCTACCTTACCTACCTGAGCATTCAGGCCAAATAAAGGTTTTCGAGAACCCTCACATAGTAACATACTTCATTTGAATTTTATTGGCCTATTCACAATAATTATATTTGGGTGAGATGTCGGGTTTGTGTTAGTTAGTTAGTTAAGAATTATCTTTGGAAATTCCAATACTTAGGTATTGTATTATGTAGGGATAGGAAAATATCGATGTATTCTGTGTAAATGAATGTTACCTACACTATGTTGTATGTACGTATTTTGAAAACCTATAATACCTTCTCGAGAATTTCAAAAAATAATAAATTTGATAAATTGAGTGTATTAAAAGACATTAAGAGAAGATATAGGAATTTGCATATTTTTATAAATATTGAGTCGATTTTTCTTTTCAAGACCAAGACCAAGACGAGAGTCTTGAGAGAGAGTCTTGGTCTTGGTCTTGGTCTTGAACGTCAAGTCTTGGTCTTGGTCTTGAGAAGATTTATCAGGTCTTGGTCTCGGTCTTGGTCTTGCTACCAAGACCAAGACAAGACCAAGACTAGTCTTGTGGTCTTGCTAAGCCCTATACAAATACATGAGCATCACATCCGACAACTTTCAAGTGTTCTATGTATGCCTTTTGTCCAGATCATACTTGATATGGTGTGAGATTGGGTGTCTGACTTGTTAATGTTCTATTTAGGATTAATAAAAGCCTCAGCCCACAAGTATTTTGGGAACTGTTCATGGAATGACCTCTTTCGACTATCGTACGGTTCTCATGTTCAGCCCGTCCATTTTGCTCAGGGGTAATATGGCGCAACGATGTCAAAGCCAATACCTTCAATTTTTTAAGTTCTGGTAACAGTATTCAGTGCCATTATCCACAGGCCACATGGGAAAGTGTTATTGGTTTGCCAAACTTGTTTTTCATTTTATTGTTAGACTTTAGAAACACTCCAGTGAGTCGAACTTGTATTTGATGGAATAAATAACCCGATATCCTGATGACTCATCTTTTAGCAACATAAAATATGTGACCACGCACCACTAGGCACTTTGGAATATGGGATTTTGGCTCTCCATTAAATTCGTCGATAGATTTCAACCTCCTGATAAAAAGTTCTCAAGGACACATGGACAGAGAATGAGATTTTAATTAAAGGGTTAACAGGGGTAGGTGCTGTATCACCATTAAAAAACATTGGGTGAATCTTGAAAAGGCCTTAAAAGCCATGACCAAGATCAACTTCAAGGCCATTACCAAATTTCTTATTTCATTTCCTACAACTTTTGTATTCAACAAATTTCTCCATCTCCCTCAGCTTTCAAGATATCGAGCCTGGTTCTCGACACACTTTTCACCCCTGAAGCCCTCTAAAGACGCATGTATTATCCTTGTGCCTATAAGAACTTTTTTATCATAAGAGGTTAAAATCTAGTAAAAAAAATTGATATAGTTACCAGCGAATTTGACAGTGAGCGAAAATCCCATATACTAAGGAAGTGGTCCTTTTCTCATATGAAATAGCAAATTCACATGGCTGGTACTCTCAATTCATGAGCTTAGAATTTGATTAATTTCTTTTTTCTACGAGCGTGCGCAAAGTAGTACTTTTCCGCACGCATTTCGGTTCTCAAAGTTGCACTTTTCCGCACTCAGTGCGGATACAGGCCTTATCCGCACTGAGTGCCGAAAAGTAAAAATAATTGTCAAGCAACAATAAGTACACTTGTCGACTTTGACACATGATGACAAATTTTTCCTCTGTTTCTGTACCAGCTAACATCTATACCTACAAACACCAAATTTAATTAACTTCAACACATTGTCAGATTTGTTTTCTATTTATATGCAAGAATCTACAAACTTTCTCATCAAATTTATAGCGTTTTCCATTTGTCGAAACAGGGCAAAAAAATGTATCCTTATCCTTACATGTTACATGCTTTTAGAAAAAGATGCGGATGCACTCAGTGCGGCACTGATGACAAATGGAAATCGCCATTAAACGCTTTAAGATGAAGAGCTCTGACGATGATTTTCTGTTATATATTTTTTTTGTTATGTAATTTTTTGATAAATGCATAGGTTCCCTTCAAGTTAATTAAAAATAATTAAACAAATTATCGTTTTTTTTTTGATTTTTGTTGTTACCTACCTGATATGAAGCTCGTAGGAAAAATTTTGTTCCTAACACGTGCGCAAAGTGTCTTTTCCGCACGCAAACACGTATCCGAACTCCGCTTCGCGTCGTTCGTATAACTGTGTTTGCGTGCGGAAAAGTAACACTTTGCGCACTTGTTAGGAAAATAACTATTTTCTACGAGCGTGCGGAAAAGTACACTTTTCCGCACGCTCGTTTTCCGCACGCTCGTATTTTAGGTCACGAAAGTATCACTTTTCCGCACTAGCGCCTTTCCGTTTTTTTCCACAGGTATACTACAGGTACAGGTACGAAAAAGTGAAAAAAAATATCTTAAATTGATAAACATGTAGGTTAAAATATTACCTTTCATGTCGTAGAAAAAAAAAGTGTTCCTAACTCGTGCGGAAAAGTGGTACTTTCCGCACTGGTTTGGAAATATACTATTACCGAATACCAGACATGTCAAATGAATTTTTTTCCCACTCGCAAAATATTAAAAAAAAATTATCCCTCGTCTTTGAGTCGGGAAAAATTTCAAAATATTCTGGTCCTAAGATGTATGCATATATACTTTATAAAGTTTCGATCTATTCTTGTTTATGCCTTATCAAGCAACAATATTGAAGATAGTCTATTAATTTTGTATTATTTTTAGAGAACCTCCTATACCCCTTCAACCTCTAGTTACATCAATAGAAGAAGAATTCTCCCCAGAAACACCGCTAATGGCGAATAAACGAGAAAGCACCGTTTGACAAATAACCGAATTATAAGACTTTGAAGTTGATGGTGACCTAGTATAGAAACTTTTCACAAAAAAAGTTAATTTTAGGAAATCGTAGGGTGATAAAATGACCCAAATTTAAGCTAAATTTGATAATAAGTATTGTACATTTCTGATACGTTAGGAGTTTTAGGTGTTATGTGACGATAGATTATTTTAAAAGTTTATGCTCTATATGCTCGTTTTGTTTTATATGTACGTCAAGTAACACCTTATTACTGCCACACTATCTTATTGTCAACTAAGAACTAAATAAAGAAAAATACTACCACAGGGTCTAATTTTATAAACTAAAACGCGATAGTGTTGGCTTTTTAATCAAGCAAAAAACTCAAAATTAATCTAAGAAACTAAACTAATATGACTAGAGGAATAGTACAAGGTACCGACTTACTCGACCTACTTTAATCTGGATTTTGGATATGGGTTATTTTTTTATAAGAGATTACATAAAATCAGGAAAATCATGCAAGGGTGGTCTAGTTACATCAGGTCCCTGCATACTGATGTTTAGTAACCTATGCGACATTTGTTTGTTTATGTGTTACAGAATCAAAAATTATTTCGCGAGAATAGGACAGCAAAAAAAAAGAAATTAATTATTCGTCGCTTTAAATGTTGTGTACAGCAGGGACGATACCACATAATGGAAATTATAGTAGATAGGCTTTAGTCAAGAGTAATGCCCTTTTTCTAAACCTCCCCTATGAAAGTGAAGACCTATCGCTAGATAGAAGAAAATTTAAGGCTTTCTTAGCAAAATAAACGAAAGACTTTTTCAGCAAGGTGCTTCTGGGAATTGGCAGTGGAATAGTGCATTGCCGAAGGAAATTGATCATAGTATTTCCCATAGACCAGGCAAACACTTTCGAGTATGTATAAGCATGGCATAGTTGAAATTCTATGAGAAATAAAGCTAGGTTTACAAGATTGTCGAAAGGGAACTGTAAGCATCAACCTCAGGGCTCTTTTTTGTAAAATAAATATTATCGAGTTGAAATTAGTAGTAGGTACTGCAACAGCCCTAAAATGCAATTCCATAAGTAATGTGTGACTCAACTAGAGAAAAATATGCGGTCCTGAGAGCTCGTAGCTCTACTGTTCTGAGAGTAATCTCAAAGCATAAAACCTAAAGATGATACCTTACTGGAGTGCCACAATATGCTGCTCAAACTCTTGTCCACTGTAACTCCAAGAAACTTAGCACCAGACGGTAGAATGAACTGATGAACAAAATCACCACATAAGGAGATGTTGAATAATGAGCACTTGAAGTTTAACACATTGGTCTTATGTTGAAGGATTGCTTGTTGCTGCCGCTCCAGGTTTTTATCAAATCCAAATCGACATTTATCATGCGTTCCAAGAATTCTCCACTGTTCGCATGCCAAACAATGGACGTGTCGACTCTATATAAGAGAGGCTAAATCATTAATATAGATGAAGAACAAAAGGGGGCTAAGCATAGAGCCCTGAGACCGCAGTTATTGCTCATTTTATCCGAAAACTCGCCCCTTTATGAAACTACCTGGCTTCTTATTCTTAAAACAGGGGAGTAGCGTTCCCAGGAAAACGAGTGTTCCGTCTTTCTCAATGATATTCAAATGATAATATGAGTAACAAAGACGGAATACCTATTCGTTCTCCTGGAAACGCTCCCCTGTTGCAAGAATAAGAACCCTGCTGACGATCACTTAAGTACGACTGAAACCAATTAACCAATTTAGAGTCACACCTCTAAAACCTTACACTTCAAGCTTACGTAGCAACACATATTGATCGACACAGTCGAAAGCCTTCGACAAGTCACAAAACACCGCTGCTGAAAGGTGAGTGTCACTTGCACTCAAATAGATATCTTCCAGAAGGGAGAATATCGCATCAAATGTTCCTATGTCCCACTGGAAGCCAAATTGATTATCGGAAAGGGACACAAATTGGGGAATGAAAGAACTCTTATTCTGACCAGTTTCTCAATCAGCTTACCAAGTGAAGGAAAAAGAGAAATAGGATGGAAATTTGCTCGAGAATCTGAGTCTCCCCCTTTGTAAAGAGGTACAACCACTGCATGCTTAAGAATATTAGGAAATATACCCTTGTCAAAGGAATCAATTATTCCATCTCTAGGCGCACCCTATCGTTAGGATGAAGTAATAGTTTAATGTCATCATAGCCCGAGGAATTTTTGGTTTTGAAGGTTATTAGGGTTTCTTTGATCTTAGGAACATCGACTGGTGCCAAGAAGGAGGAACTATATAAAAAAAATACTTACATTCAAAATCCAGATAAAAGTACATAATAGATATAGGTTGAATAAGTCGAAATCTTGGACTTAAATAGATTACCTAAATATTAGGAAAAATGTGACGTAATCAACTGCCAGAAATTAAATCATAAGAATATTTTAAAAACAATTTTTATTTACAGCCATATAGGTAATGTTAATATTTATGAGTTTTTAAAGGTTCTCCACCCGGTTGAAAACTGCAATTATTAGGGATATTTCAATTTTATAAATATTACCCCGGCTACGCCAGCAGCCATCATTTTCGTTTTTGTTTGTATTTCTTCGTAACTTTTGCAAAACGCATCCTTATGTTGAAATTTTAAAAAAGTCTCGCCAAATAGCCGAACAATCAGTAAACCTTTTATTGACGCATGCGTGTATTTTTAATACCCATTTGGAATAACTCCTTCCTTATTTATCAATCACAAATCAGATGAAACAAAAAATTACCAACAAAAACGAACGTCGATTGCTAATACGTCAATTTCATTTATAAACTACTCAAAACGAAATAAGGACCACTTTTAAAAGCTTGGCTTTTATTTAATTTTGAATAACCCTGGTAAACTGGATTTTTCCTTTTGCAATAAGTATAGATAAACACATTAAGTGTGCACAAAAAAATTATATTGTGAATGGAACTAAACACTTTACCAGGGTGATTCAAAATTCATTAAAAATAAATGCGTTTTTAAAAGTGGTCCTTATTTCGTTTTGACTAGTATATATAGGAAATTCCTGATCTAATTTTATTTGTGTGTTCAAGAAGCGACATACGTCAAGTCATTAGAACGACTGGTACTACAAAATAGGTATTAAAAATACTATACCTATAGAGGCAGGGAGGGAAGTTCAAGGACACGCTTATGTGGTTTTAATATTTCCACTTCATAGTTTTAATATTTCCACTTCATTGATTTCAAGAATACACACGCTTTATCGTTTGTCTCACTTTGAGACGTAGAGAAAAGGAAATTTGCCCTCTTCGTCAGTGATTTCGTCAATGGCTGCTTCTTGGCCGGTTCTTACTCTATATGGTTTCTGCTGCATTCCGAATTTGCATTTGATTCAAGTGCTGGTCCCATGTCCTATGGTCTTCTTGGTGAACGTAAGTGCGTAGCAGGTTCTTGATAACACGATTATAGCGTTCAGTAGGATTTGTGCGTGGGTTATAATTTGCGGTATAGAAGATACGAGTTTTATATCGATTACACAAAGCCTGAAACTCTTTGGATCTCATTTGTACTCTCTTATCACATGTAAGAAACATAAGCGCGCCAATTCTTGCGAATTTTGCCATAGGTTTCAAAAACACCAACGTGACCAGCCTCAGGGATATCATGACAGCGTTTCAAAACTACCAATTGGTTTTTCTTAGGCACAACTACTTTCCATTGTTCAGATGGCGCAGATAATTCAGGAAGAGAGATCTTTATACATTTATATAGAGTTGCATTTTGTACATACCACAAAGGAAATTTCAGAAGTTGAAGTCCAATTGCCTGGATCATATACCATTGATCGTTAGTGTTTATTGAAGAAAAGTCGGGTGGCTCAAAAAAATGTTCTGAATCGACGGCAACAGGAACTGACCTAGAAAGAAAATCGGAAACAACCTGGTCTTTCCTCTTACGGTGAATTAATTTAAAATCATACTGGTGAAGGCGCAACTGCCAACGACCCAAACGTTCTTTTGGATCTTCAAGGGTATGCAACCACAAAAGGGTAGCATGATCTGTGATGACTGTGAAATTAACATGGTCCAAGTAATGGCGAAGCTTTTCAACACTCCAAATTACCGCTAAGTTTTCCTTCTCTGTAACTGAGAGTTTCATCTCCCGTTTGGAAAGAGATCTGGATAGGTAACAAATGACTTTTTATCCCTGATCAAATTCCTGTGTTAGAACGGCTCCAAGTCCATATGAAGACGCATCAGTCTGCAGGCAAAACAGTTTCTCGAAATCAGGTCCTGAAAAAAACAGGAGCTGTGACTAGACATTATTTTTGGTGAGATTCAAGATTGGTGCTAATAGTGAAAAAAGATCTGGGACGAATCGTCTTTACCAAGATGTGGTGCCTACGAAGCGACGTACTTCATTAACATTTGTAGGTGATGGAATATTCACAATTGCGTCAACTTTCTCAGGATCAGGTCGGAGACCCTTACTATCGACCAGATAACCCATATACCTTATTTCAGGTTTACACAAACTACATTTCTATCTATTCTAGGAGATATCATAAGACCGGATTCACGCAAGCATTCGATGGGAGTTTCTAGTAACTTCAGATGTTTCGAAAAGGTGCTGGATGTGATTACGATGTCGTCGAGATAAACCATTACATAAGGTTCAAGTTCGGGTCCCAAGATAGTGCCAACTATCAGCAGGTAGCAGGGGCATTTGATAACCCAAAAGGCATTCGCCTAAATTGAAAGAGACCTCCACCATGGACAGTGAACGCAATATATTCACGGGAATTCTCTGCTAATGGCATCTCTATGGAGCTAATGTAACGAGTATTACGCAAATTATCCAAAATGCTGGATATATATGGGAGGAAGCATCCTTTTTCGTTTGAAGATTAACTTTATGGACGTCAATACAGTACCTAAAAGTGCCGTTTTTTTTTTGGCGAGACATACAGGACTAGAACACTGTTAGATCTCTCAATGACTCCGAGAC